TTTTTAAGCACGACAAAACATACCTGAGTGTGTGTGTGTCCTATTGTTATAAGTATTAGAAATTTTATGTACTTGTAGTAGTAGTACGTAGGGTTTTCAGAGGCCTGTTATTTCAGAAGTGGATGGCCAATCCTTCCTAGTCTGTCTTAATGCGAATGTTCCGATTTAGAGAAGTATCAGACAGACCAGCAAGTTAAAGGTAGATCCCTTATTGTGGAGTTAACTTTAGTGTCAGTGTTGTCCCTGCCTTTCTCACATGCGTCTTTACCCACTTATTTCCCTGCTACACCATCCACCAGGATACCCATCCACTTCTACCCCCTCCCTTCACATCTATCTCCCTTTGACCAGCCCTCCATCTAATAACTTATATATGAAGCTTCCTTAGCTTCTGTGATTCCAAACACATCAGCTGCTGGTAGTTCCTTATGTTGGGACCAGTGTCTCTGAAGTTTAGTCGTAATGTTTCCCGAGCAAAGGTGATGCATCCTGTAGAACTGGTGTGTAGATAGGCTTTTCTTGGCCCGAGCGGTTTTTTGGCGTCTTCGATTACCTGGGAAGATGGGCAGGGACTGTGATGGGCTTTTAAGCCGCCCAGCTTTCAGCTGGTCAGACGTCAGACTCCTGTACCCCCTCTCTGGCCTGCCGAAAGGGTTAAACCAGGTGGCTTCTTGGAGGCAAGGATTCTGAGGCTCCATCTAACATACTTTGGACATGTTGTGAGGAGAGACCGGTCCTTGGAGAAGGACATCATGCTTGGGAGGGTGGAGGGACAGCGCAGGAGAGGAAGGCCCTCTATGAGGTGGATTGATTCAGTGACTGGGATAATCGGGATGAGAGTGTCGGAGACAGTGCGATTGGCACAGGACAGAGCAGAGTTTAGGGCTGTTGTACATAGGGTCTCTATGAGTTGCAAGCGACTCAACGGCACATAACAACAACAGTAGTAGTAGTTGTTGTGTGCTGTCAAGTCACTCACAACTCATGGCAGCCCTATGAACATCTCTGAACCTTACTCTATCCTGAGCCAATCTCACTGTCTACAGTACACCTGGCCCCATTACCACAGTCACTGTAATGTCAGTACCAAGCCCTAACAGGAATTTGATAAGGTTTTTATGTTTCTTTGTTATGTCTATTTTTTTCTCAGATTGATCATTGACCTATATTAAGAAAACTGTACCTGGTTACTTGCTGCTGGTACTTGTCTTTTTCTTTTCTTCATTTTTATTCCTTCATTCTTCATAGTCTGAACATGTCTTTTGATTTCTCAATTTAAGAAATAATTGTTAAACTACATTCAGAGCTCATTGGTAGTACACTGTGTGGAACATACTAACCGAATACTAGGGTATTTAAAGGAAAGAAATTACATCCCCACAGCCAAGATGTCAGGAAGGTGCAGGGTTTTGTTCTATACACAAGGTTGCTACATGTTAGAATCTGAGTCAGTGGCATCTTAACAACAAAAAGGTATCGGTTTTAACTACCATGTAGGGTACTTTGTTCTCCCTTTTTATCTTTAAATTATTAAATAGTAAGTAATTTCTCCTATTTTTAATTCACAACTTTCTTGTTTCTTTCCTATGTATAGGTTCAGTGGTCACCTCACAATGAAACTATTTTGGCTTCTAGTGGTACTGATCGTAGACTGAATGTCTGGGATTTAAGGTAAATCTTGTACTAGCTATTCTATCTATGGAATTGTTTTTATTTCTCCCTTCAAAAGGTAGTCATGGTAAATCTCTTGACTTTTTAAAATCTTTATTGTCTAGTAAAATTGGAGAGGAACAGTCCCCAGAAGATGCAGAAGATGGACCACCAGAGTTACTGGTATGTTAAAAGCATTTGTTGGGGAGCTCTGGTGACCTAGTGGCAAGAAACTGCACTGCAATCACAGAGGTATACGGTTCAAATCCACCAGATGCTCTGCTGAAGAAGGAGGGACAATCTCCTCCTGTACCAGTCAGATCTGATTTGACAGTACACACACACACACA